AAAAAAAAGAAAAAGAAGGTAAAATTCCCCTAAAATTCCCCTTTTTTTTTTTTTTTTTGCATTGGGAATTCCCAAACTTGGAATTCCGGGGTTTCTCCACGTGAAGAACCCTGAAAAAATCCCTGGATTTGTCCCCACAGGCTTCCAAAAACGCGGAAAACGCCACCACGGGGGAGACGGCGGAGGAGAACGAGGCCGGCGACTGAGAACCCACTTGGAGTTCTGAAATCGCCCCCTTTTTTTTTCCACCCCCCCCACCGCCCCCAAAAAAAAAAGACAAAAACAAACAAAAAAAAATCCCCACAAAAACAAAATTCCATCCGGAAACGAAATGATCCGGTGTTGGTCCGGACGTAAATTCCAGTCGGGAATTCCCACAGAATCCCAACAGCTCCCGTTGACTTTGCCAAGGAGGGAGGAATCTCTCGGTCACTTCAGATTTTTAAAGCGAAAAAAAAAAAATAATAATAATAATAATAAAAAACATCCCCAAAAGAGCAGCAAAAAAAAAGCCAAATAATAATAAAAATTAGGAGTGGAAGTCGCTATTAAATCCTTGAATTCCCCGTGTTTGGAGAGGTGAATCCATAAAATCCAGGGAGAGGGAGCGGAGGGAGCTGCTGATTCCTTCTTCCTCCTCCTGCTGCTGCCTTTTATTTTTATTTTTTTTAACTTTTCCCTTTGGAAATTTTCACAAAAAAACCCCCCCAAAAACCAGGTGATTCCACCCAGAAAAGTGCGAGATAAATCCAAGATTTTTATCTTTTCCCTCTGGGATTGTACTTTTAGAATTGGGAAAAAAAAAAACCTAAATTTTAATTTCTCCCCTCCACCAGGAGCCTTTTCTGCCTCTGCCTTGATTTAAGGGATTTCAAAAAAAAAAAAATAAAAAATAAAAAATAAAAAAAATCGCTATTTTTTAACACAAACTCGTTTTTAAAATGATCCAAACCTTCGGGAAGCCGCCGACATTCCGGCCTCGTGGAGCTGAATTCCCTAAAATCCCGGGTTTGGGTATTTTTTATCCTTCCCAATATCCCCGGGAACACATTCCACCTTTATTCCCGTGAACCGGAGGATAATAATATTATTTTTTTTTTTTTTTTTTCACTTTTTCCCTCTGGATTCTTTGCTAATTTTGGGGGAAAAAATTCCCACCAGAATTCCTCAGGGGAGAGGTGAGGGAAGCGCTGCCGGAGCCGTCGGATCCGGGATAGGCCCGAACCCAGGGGTATCGCTCTTTTATAGTCAATTTTTTACAAAAAAAACACATAAAAACGAGAAAAAAAAGCCGATTAAACGCCGTCAGTTGAATGTTTGAGGTTTTTTTTTTCTTTGCCGATACCCCTGGTTCCCTTTTTTCCCCCCTTTACTCCTCAATTTTTTGGGAATTCTGATTCCCGCCTTACCCAACATTCCCGGGTTCTCCGCAGGCCGCGGTGCTTCCTCGTCGAGATCTTGAGTTTTCCACCCCAAAAAACAAAACTCCACACGTGCAAATGTTACCAAAGTCAAATAAAAGAGAATAAATGATGCGATATTGGATTTTATTCCCGTTTTTTTCCGTATTTCTTGGGATTTTTTGGGATTGTTGGGTGGAACTGGCCTGGGCCTGGTGGGGGGGGGGGGTTGGTGTTGGAAATGGGATTTTTTGAGGGGAAAAATTGTAATTTCTGAGGGGAAAATGGTCAATTCTGAGGAGAAAATTATAATTTCTGAGGGAAAATGATAATTTCTGAGGGAAAAATGGTAATTTCAGAGGGAAAATGATAATTTCTGAGGGAAAAATGGTAATTTCTGAGGGGAAAATGGTAATTTCTGAGGGGAAAATGCTCAATTTTGAGGAGAAAATTATAATTTCTGAGGAGAAAATGCTCATTTTTGAGGAAAAAATGATCATTTCTGAGGGAAAATGCTCAATTCTGAGGTGAAAATTATAATTTCTTAGGGGAAAATGCTCATTTCTGAGGAGAAAATGCTCAGTTCTGAGGAGAAAATTATAATTTCTGAGGGGAAAATGCTCAGTTCTGAGGAGACAATTATAATTTCTGAGGGGAAAAAGTTGCTTTGAAGGGAAAAAATGGTCAATTAGAGGGAAAAATCACATTTTTAAGGGGAAAAAAACTCCAATTTGAAGGGAAAACACCTCACTTTAGGGAAAATGCCCTCATTTTGAGGGAAAAAACTAAATTTTGAGGGGAAATCTCTTCATTTAGAGGAGAAAACATAGTTTGAGAGGAAAACCCCTCAATATAAAGAAAAAAAAAACCCTTATTTTGAGGAAAAATTAATTTTAAAGGTAAGAAAACCGTATTTTGCAGGAGTAAAAATTCATTCTGAGGGGAAAACCCCCTGTTTTTAATGAAAAAATTATAATTTTGTGCTTTTAAAGCAGTACTGCGCCTGGAAATGAGAGCCAAAAGCTCTTCCAATCCACAGCAGGGATTTAAAAACTGCTGAGACTCACCGGAGCTTTATTTCATTTTCTATTTTGCGTTCTTTATGCTACAATATAAAAATATTTCATATTTTTACTTTAAAAGAAAGCCCCTGGAAGAGCTTCGGGATCCAACAACAATCCCGTT